CGGGCCAATCCAAACAATCATTGCAAAATATCTTGGGCGGCCCAAGCCCCACCTTCGCCATCATTTTCTAAGGGGGGCCTGTCAGCAAATTGTCCAGAACACCCATAAGTCAATCAGATCAAACGTGTGGGGGCAGCGAAATACCAAGAATGCCCCAGCCAATTGCCATCACCTTTTGAGAAAGGCCATCATTTACCTCACAAAGCCAAGGCCATGGCTCATGAATGCCAATAATGGTAAAATGGAAGAACAAAACATTAAATCCCTTTGCCCCATTGAACCCGCCTTCCATGCTTACACATGAATAATTGTTTTTGAGGATGAAGACAAGTGTGGGGCCCATTAGGGTTCGACACGTGTTCGATGAAACTTTTAGATAATTTGAATCAAAGGCGGTTATAAGGTCTACTGTAGATGATCGGTCCTGACCGGTTCGGTCTGCCAAGATCGGATCTTTCTCGGTCGATTCGGCTTACGAGCTCTATGTGCAACTATATTCCCTATCAGACGGGTTTATGGTATGTTATATATATCGAAAACAATCAAGTAGAGTGAAATTGAGGCCATGAGATTAACATATATATATAAAAAAAATTGTATAAGTTATTTATTTCATAATTTTTTACCCCTTTGTATACATAAATGCAAAGTTTTACAAGCTTATGTTTTGACTAATTTTCAAGGCTTGTAATTGTAAGAAAAATTAGTTTTACACTGATTTTACGATTTTACTTTTCGTAAGTGGAAGATTTAGAATAAAATCTCAAAAGTATTTTAGGTTGAATGAGAAATTAACTCTATAAGTAAAATGTGTGGGAATTTGAATCTATATAACTCAAAATTCAGTTTAATTAACTAAAAAAATTATGAATTTGCAGACGTTCTGTCTTTGACGAGTGTTTGAACAAGCCAAACGAGCCATAACCATGTAGCATGCATGCTAAAATTGTAGATGAATTCGTTTGGGACGAGTATGAAAAAACAAAACACGATTCTGAATTCGGACGACTGCGTGTCGGCTTCTGGATCGCAGGCGCGAGCCATACCTCATTCTCAGACGCGACACCAGTTGCGCGCGACGAGCACGCGACCTATACGCACCCTACTCATGCCGAAAAGGTTCTACTCAATTCTAGACGACCAGACACGTCTCGGAGTGTGTCTTTTGATGCCATAATCCCCATGAAGATGACGAAAAACTTCAATAATTGCCCATATGATTTGAAATGCATACAACACTAGAGACCTTGACATAAAGATATGAAATTTAGATAGAATATATGATAGTGCATGTTCATCTTGCGTTCATAAGTATTTATACATTTATTGAGAATTCTAAACACAAGTAAGTTCACCAAAATCTTGTTTATTGAAGTGTCACTATACACAGAAAAAAGTCGGTGTATCCTGGAGATGTTTATCGAAAACTTTGGGCATTACTCGATAGCAATTTTATCTTAGGATAGCGTGTTTCACGTGCCTCGACTTTGTTTATTATTTGAATTTTTGAGTTTGTTCGCAGATAGAGTTCGTGATTTGATCGAGCCGTCGCTTTCATTCTCCGTTCGTGTTATCCTTTGTCATTCTTTAAGCGACAAATATGAACACATACATCTAACATCAATCTTATAAATCAACTTTTGATGTTTCGTAATCAAATTTTAACTTATTATACAAGCATATATATCTCTATGCATCATTAACACTTACATACTTCACTCTAAACAATCCGGCAATATATAATTTTTTGTAATTATCAGTTTCTTACATATTTATCTCAGTTGACCTCATGTGTTTATTAAAGAAATTAAATTGTTGTATAAATTACTTGATTTATTGAAATTTGCTTTTACATTACACTCTCACAATCACAATCATCCGAATTCAGTTTTCCATACAAAATATTGTTGTTAGGTATTCTAATAGTTTGTTGATTGTTGTTATAAGGTAGCCTAATCGTTACTTGATACTTGATAGTCATCGCACTAATTTGAACAAAAATACAAAATTTACCATGAAATATCATTTATTTTATTTCAATGAAAAAAGTATCAAATTTTATTTTTCTAATTAGTTAATTATAATATTATTATATTAATAAAATATCATTGGCATGGCCCCTTCCCCTCCTCTCTCTCTCTCTCTAAGTTGACATTTTTGCACTATATATATCGGTTTTCCCGAACACTATGTAACTCGTCAATCTTTAAACAAATTACAATCGTGTCCACTTGTTCCTATACCACACGAAGCAGAGCAAAACTTTTGGTTAATAATTTCTTAATTTTCTCGAGAGCAAAGGTAATACAATACGTATGCATATTTTATCCAATTTCTATTTAAATATATATCATATCAGTCTACCAGATGTTATGTTTTTAAGAGGGTGAGATTTCCTATTTCGATTTTGTATTCATTTCGTGTTTCATTTTATGATCCACTTTTAAGAGTTGTTTTATTGATAAAAAATTGTTATTTATTTTTTACAAAAACTCTATTTTCTATGTTTTCTATCCTTCATTTTTTAATATTTTTTTTTTTAGAAAAATATGTAAATTCAAATAATAATTTGAATATTTTGTGAATTTTAACAGAGAAAAAAGATGGAAGAAATGAACTCAAGGCTGTACATGGAAAATTGGTACATGCTGCAAGAGAATGAGAAGCTAAGGAAAAAAGCTGAGCTTTTGAACCAAGAGAATCAGACTCTTCTACACGAGCTCAAGCGGAGGCTTACAGTGGACTCGCCCGCACCAGGAAATTCCTCCCCCAAGTCCAAAAACAGAGCATCCAAGTCCTCCAAGAAATGAGATTTACTTAATTAGTGGGCGATTTTATTTTCTTTTAAGTGGTTGTTTATATAGTTTGTAAGCATAATAGTTAATAAATAGTTAGTCAATGTCGATTTTTTTTTTTTTTTTTGTCCAACATTTTGACATCTTCTCCTTATTCTCCAAGACTAGTAACATTTTCGATTTCTGGTGTTAACTTTTTTACTGGTGTCTGAAAAAAATCGACATTACTTCCGTAGTTACTGTTTCTCCACGAAATTTTAACCGTACGATCACTCAGGTGTAGTTAGGATGGAGATAATCTAATGGAACAGTTACAGTGTATAAGATGAAATTCCCCGTATATTATGATGTTATGCTTTTAAGTATGGTAGTGTTTTTTAACTTTTTATTTTGCATATATTTTATTTGTGTTAAGCGTACTCTAATGTCCTATTATGAAGTGTTTAATATGTGAAATCAATCAAAAATATTTGCTCACGTGGATCATTTGATCATTATGCTGAAGTAAATTGCGACAATAAACGACATTGAACATGAGATATTGGAGCCCATTATTGCAAAAGGAAGCGATGGTTAATTATTGTTTGTATAGTGGATAATAGAGTGGAACATTATTTTAATAAAAGGTGGCGCATTATGTAAGATTTAATTTTGACTAAATATGGAACAAATTAATATTTTGATAATTTTCTTACTTAAGCAAATAAAATAAATTAAAAAGAAAGATTTTCAATTTACCTCTATAATATTTAATCAAGTTCCTTATTATTAGATACGGTATTTATATAGTATGGTAAGTAATATATATAGTAGTATCTAGTAGATATTCTTAATTTTTGAGAAAGTTATTTCTATAATATTTGGTCGTAGGAATGATCGTACACCTCTAGAATTTGATCGTGATCTCGTTTTCATTTCATTATTGAGAAGATCGTGTCCAAGATTTGAAGAATCCATATGGAAAGGAAATCAACTCCGTCGATACATGACAATTGGAAGAATCCTTTCTATTGAGAAAATTATATATATGCATTCATAAAAAGATTCATCGACAGCTGCTGCAGTTATGGAGTTTCATATTCAAGACATTATTTGAGAGTTCATGAGTTTTGAGTTGTTTTGTACTTTATTTAGTTTAGCAGCAATTCAGTGTGTGTTCTTATATTACTGAAGAGTTGTGTATGTTTTTTATTCATAAACTCGGAGTATTAAGGATTAAGTACTTTTGTAGCTACAACGGATCCTATAACTATTTTGAAGTTCACATTACGACCAGAGAAATAATTAGTAAAGTCGGGTATATTGTTGGTAAGATTTAGAGAGTCCTTGTCTTATACGTTTGCAAATTGATCTATTAGTGAAAGTGCTCTGAGAATAATGGGACGCTCTCGAAAACGATTTTTTTTATTCGTTGATTTCGTTTTTAACGTGTTTAAACACTTGTTGCATACTCTACATACTTCCCCATTTCACACTAAAAAGTATTTTACGAAGAAAGACTCACGAATACGATTAAAATAATAATTTGGGCATATATTTGAGATGCAAACACACATGTTATGTCCGTGTTAAATAAAAGCACGTCATTATATTATGGACATTTTGAATTTATATTTTTGAGTCTTATATTTTTTAGTCTTATTAATGATTCATTATCCCGTAATTACAAGATTCGACTATACTTATTACTTCAACGTCTTCATATTATGGACATTTTGAATTTATATATTTTTGAGTCTTATTAATGATTCATTATCCCGTATTACAAGATTATTATTTCAACTGGTTTCGAGCTAAGGTTGGTCAAGCTTTGTCTTCGAATTGTTTCAAGTTGAGTAGCTCATGTTTACCTCAAGACTATACTTATTATTCCAATTGAGTTTCAAGCTAAGGCTAGTCAAACTCATATTCGAATAGTTTCGAGTTGCGTAGCTCATATTCACCTCATTCTAATTTAACAAATAAAGTAACTCAAGCTCGTCTCGTTAAACTCAAATCAATTGGATTTGACTCGTTTAATATACTTAAAATCTCAAATAAATTGTTGGTGGAACCTAGAAAACAAGTTCAACTCAAATTTTTTATTTCAAATCCATACAAAAATAAATAATTTTTTTTTAGCTGACAAAATAAATAAAAAATTTAATATGAGTTCTTTGTAAACAAACTAACTACTGAGGCAAATCAAACTGTGTTCATAAACATGCAGCTAGTCACCTATTTTATAGTTTCATTACATAAAATGAAGTCAGACTTGTATTAGTTGGACAGAGGCATATCAGCTTGACATATTTGAAACTTGATCAAGCTTTAATGTCAAAATACTTTTCAATCTCAATTAATTATATGCAACCCTTGAATTTTCTTGATCTCCTTCAAATTAATCAACACACCTTTAGGTTCGTTCCTGCCCTTAATCGTCATATGCTCAAACATTATTGGTTAAAAAATAAGCAGGTCACCTCACTTTTTTACCCCCAAATGCCGGATGACTTTTGAAATTTCGAAAATGAACAAGAATTTTGTGTCCAAAAAGGAAAAAGAAAAAGATAACTGATATTGGGTTATTTGTTAAACTGGGTTTTGCTTGGCTGCGTTTCTGAGAACACACAACAATGGCAGCTGGGACAACAACCAGGAGAATTTCAGCAGCCTCAGCTAGGGTTCATACCCGAAAATCGAAACCCACGACTTATTTGAAAATCTCAGGTTTGGGTTTGATTTTTAATTGTCTTCTGGCAATCACTTGTTCTGTAATTCCTCTGTTTAATTTATATTGAATGCTCAGTTTATTTAGTTGATTTTCAGCAACATGTAGTGCAGCCAGAGGGTTTTATGCATAGCTTTGTTTAAAAATTTCATGGGCTTCTTAAAGATTAAATTTTTATGCGATATGTTGATAAATGATATGAATAAAAAGCAATATGTGTGTGTGTGTGTGTGTGTTTTCTTATTCTGTTTACTGTTAAAAAAATTACTTGTACAGATTTAGTTACTTGGTGATGGAGTGAAGTTCAGTTATCATCTATGGGCAGATTTGATTAATTTGAGAATGAAATTGGATGCAGAAAAGTGCTTTGGAACGACTTTTGTCATTTCATTTTGATGTTTATTGCACCAAAAGAAATGGAAAATCAGCTTTATATGGGCTTCACATGTAAATAACCTCTCTAAATTCAACTCTCTTCGATGGTTCCCCGATTATTTGTGAGAAAATTTCAGGTATATTCAAGAAAATTCTATTCGTCTCCTTTGTGGGATTATTTGCGTGGGCTTATCAAGCAACACTACCTCCTAAACCCAAGACGTGCGGCTCGCCAAACGGGCCTCTAATCACAGCACCAAGATTACAGCTCAAAGATGGTAGATTCTTGGCTTACACTGAATTCGGAGTCCCAAAGGACAAAGCGAAGCACAAAATAGTCTTTGTTCATGGTTTTGATTGTTGCAAGCACGATTTTTCTGCCATAACTTCACAACTCTCCTCGGTAAATTACAATAATTTTCCTAAATGTCCTGTTTGAGCCAACTTGTTCATCATGTGGGCCGACTTTTTTTCGCATTCTTTTTGAAAATTCAATTTTTAATTTTAGGATATCGTGGAAAATGAGGAAGTGTACATTGTCTCATTCGACAGACCCGGTTATGGAGAGAGTGATCCGAATCCTAAGCAGACAGTGAAAAGCATTGCTTTTGATATTGAGGAGCTTGCAGATCAATTGGGTTTAGGATCGAAGTTTTATATTGTTGGGTTTTCTTTGGGTGGACAGATTGTGTGGACATGCCTCAAGTACATTCCTCATAGGTAAAGTTATGAATATAAGTTTTTCGGTGAAGATTGGGAATTCAC